TGAAGATGATTTAGAATGTCGGTAAACAAAACCCGCTGATGGATGCGACCATAGAAAATAGTTGCAAACAGGGTTTCCTGTCAATTGTGAAAAAAAAAAATGTGTTTCCTGTTTATGAATTTAAGCTGTTTTTTTTTTTTCGGTAAACAAAACACTGCTTCCTTGGCTACTGCAGCAGATCTGGCAAAACGGTTTGCGGCTCACAATTGGCGATGGCGTGGAAAAACTCCCGCTAAAAGTTAGTCGGCCACGGCGATTTTTTTCTTTTGAAGAAAATGCCATCGCCAGAGCGAAAACTCGACCCTTCCGCTCGCCGATGTCGCCGCACCGAGCCACAGCCCCCCGCCGCCCCTGGTCACCGTTAACAAACACGAGACGTGAACCCTGCAGCAGAGAGAACACTGCCGCCGTCGATGGCAATTGTACAATGGATTTTATTACAACAGTACAGTGCTGCGCGGCGTTGCAATCGGGAGTCGCGTCGTTGAGTGGTGGCGCGGAGTTTTCAGCGGGGTTTAACGTCCGCGAGTCTGATAACTTGGCATTCGAAATGTATCGTTACGGAAGGGTACCGTATCTAAATTGGACGCGGGCAGTGATGAGAAGGAAACTGGCACTATTCTGACACACACGTGGGACGGGCAACAACAGGTAAATTAAAAGCGGCGTTGTTTCGGTATAACGCAAGTAAACGAAAAAAAGAGGAAGACCTAACAGAGAATGCGCTTGACGACATCACAAGGTATTGGTGCCCGAAAGATGTGGCCACTGCTTAGAGCACATTGGCACGAGGCAGAAGAAAGTGGAAACAAATGTGGACATGTGCAGTGGACACCCAAAGATCGTGATGATGTGGTGGTGTGTGGTGGTGATGATGATATTGTGATAACTGGCCAACACCGCCCCCCTTCACATGGCTGGCATGGCATGGGGAGAGGCCATTATCCAGTTGTGGATTGACAAAGGGCTGTAAGGTAATGCACTGCAAGCAGCATTATCTATAAATAAGCGCAATAACCTCGAGGAATAATTGGCTTCAAAATCTAATCAGGCCTTCTGTCCACAGGTCATAACTTTGCACGCCGCCAGGTCTCGTTGCGGCCGGGCCGAACCAGTCATCGAACTTGACTTGCAGTGCAAACAAACACAGAGGGGTCTCCTTTTAGCAGCGCACACAACTGGGTGGGAAATTGTTGTTGACAAGCACCTGCCAGGTTAGCGAGAGCCTGTTAAGGGCGCGCTGTTGGCCAGCCGGGTACCACAGCTGTCCGCCTTCGTTCTCCAAATCGTCAACGCTCGTCGCACGAATCCCAACATTGGCGCGGAGAAACGGGCCGAGTTGTACTGGGCAGTAGCCCAGACCGTGTTGACCCTAGTAGATGCCAACTTGCAGTCGCCGTAGTGCAAAAGGGTCACGAGTTAAACCCAAAGTGAGTGGGAGCGCCGAGGTATCAACACCGAGGACAAAGACCCCCCGCATAGCCTCCAACGATTGTCGGGGCAAGTGCCGTCAGCGACTACCTGATGGAAGGCCTGCACGTCACGCGAGGGGGTGGGTGGCCAGCTACCACGCCCGGCCGCCTTTGTCTCCCGAGTGACGAGGCCAAGGCGACCTGGGGGAAGCCCAGGACCGGTTAATATCATTCGCCACCGAGGTTGACCGTGAGCGGGAATCGAACCTGAGGCCGCCGAGTTCGTAGGGAGCGCCGTGCGCCACCACCCTCGCGACCGCCGCGTGCGTGCGATGAATGCTATTAAGGGTAAACTATTGCAAAGAGAGCGAATTTAAAAGCGGTTGGACGTGTTCCGCGCAGATCACGCAAGGTAAGTCATTCAGGGTCTGGGAGGGGGGACGTGGGGAGTGCACGTAGGCTTATTTTTAAACAACTGGGTGTAGCTCATATCTAATAACCATTTCAACAAACTTTTTTTCTTTGCTTAAACCCTACAACAATTACCAGCTCCAGTCGGACACAACAGCGGGGATTATGAGCTGCATTGTGTGCTTGCAAGATCGAGAAGAGGGGTGAGCGAGCGAGTGTTTACAGTCATCATCATCATTATTATCCACCCTTCGCCGTCCTCTCTCTGCTGCTGGCGACTTCCCACACTCGACGAGGGCAAGGGGGGGCAGCAGCAGCAGAGTATTTGCGTTTTAAGTTACTTTGGTCGCATTTACAAGAAGGAAATGGATGATAGCCCAAGTGCCTTCGTGGTGGATACCAGTACAGTGAACGCATTCTTTTTCTCTCTCTCTCGCTCTCTCTCATGCCAAAGAGAAGAACAACAGAAAATAAGCGACACGTCAACAACAGCCGATAACCGCCCGGAGAGCGCTCGCGTTACAGAGGAGATGGACCTGCCGAGCGTAAAAACAGCCAACTTCTCTCGCCCTGCCCCTCACCTGGACATTTTTATTTCTCGCATCTCTGCTTCATTTGCAGTTACCCTTTCAGTTTTTTTTTTGTTTAAGTAGTTCGTTGCCGGGGACCGTATTTTCCGAAACCGCACGCCCACCGCCAACAGTAGCGACTGTCGCAAGAAATTAAGAACGAGACTTTGCCGAGACCCAAAAAATGGGTCCCCTCGTCAGCAAGCCAAAGGCAAACGATGGTGCGCATCGGGACGTCCGCACGAGACGTCCCCGCACGTGGATCGTTCTCGCGCCAGGCCCGCAGCCCTCCCCCCCCCTCCTGGTGATTTTCGATTTAAGAGGCAAACAACAAAAAATATAGAACCCACAAATCGCGCATCTGCTTGAGGAAACTGGCATCTCTCCAAGGAAGCACTTTGGAAAAGGTTAAAGAGAATAAAAGAGGCGGCGTAATTAAATCCATCATTTGCTCGAGGCTCTAGTGAACACTGGGAGAAGGCGAGCGAAGCAGAGGCAGCTGAAGAGATTGCGAGATGGGATCACGCGAGTTAGCGATGGTGAGCCAAAAGGCTGAGCGTCGCGGACCATCGATGGTTAGCCTTTTGGCGCGCTTTCAGATGCGCTTCTGCGGCCGTCTGGAACGCTCTTCCCTTCCGATATTAGGAAGACACTGGAGCTATGCACTTTTAAATGGTGTAAACGTAAAACTCATTTCTTTAGAAATGCTTTGTGATCGGTTTGTTGTCCTTCCCCTGTGCGCGCCTACAATTATGCGCGGTTGGCTACGTACGGTGCGAAAGAAGTTCAACGTGCGTGTGTACGTACATCACAGAATTCGGAGGCCACTGCTGGACAATGAAACAACGGAAGAAGAATGGGCGAGGCCTTTGACCAGCGGTGGGAAGTGACAAGCTGACCACAACAACAACAACAGCTTAGAACATTGCAGGATGTTTGCTGGATTTTTATTGTTAAATAATTAAGAGAATAAAACGTCTACATATTTATTTTTTATGCACAAAGTATTTTTTTCGTGGACCTGTAAACGGGCGCACGTTAAAACTGTGCGGTCGCTGCACTGGGGCCCATTGATCGGGGTTGTTTAGCACGTGTGTGTGCGGCACACAAACCGCTGGGTTATTTACTTATTTCCATTTTTTTTTTATCGCAAGGTCGACTCACGTTTCCTCATTTAGGGGCAGAAGTTGTTTTTAAAAGCGGGCGGCTGCTGCACAAACAACAAGGACACCTATTTACTGATAAGGACCCAAACCATGCCACCTGCTACATCAGCCAATGCCGTTTGTTTAATTGCTGTGCGTTTGGGAAGCATCGTTTAAAAATAAACCACGCCGCAAATAATAATAGAACTAATTATTTGTCATCATCCTCCGACTACTCCGCCTCTACTTAACTCCTTGCGGGCATTCGTTTTTCTCCTTAAAGCTCAAGGACTAAAAGCAGCCCACGTGACGAGCGATGCACCTAAAAAAATGCACAGAAAATGCCCCCCCCCCCCCCGGCCCCTTTACAAAAACACCACGCTTGTTTTGGAGACAGCACGACCTGACCTGGTGGAGAGCGGGCAACAAAAAACCGTGGACAGAAGTGATCGGTTTGTTATGCGTTGCTTCCGAGGCACACCTATTCACGGACGGCGTGATTACACTATTTTTCAAGTCGTCATTTACTCAAAAGGCGTGTTTGTTTTTCATCCACCGTTATCGTGGTCCCGTTCTGTTCTTGCGGACGACGGCTGTGCGTGCAGGGGCTCCGCTAGCCACGACGGGGCTTCAGGAGAAAGTTTGCATCGTTGGATCACGGCCCGGAACCCATCGCCGAAATTCCACATTCATTTGCCAACGATCAGTTTTGTACTGATTTTAACCACCCAGGATTGATGATGGTGATGATGATGACATTGCATTGAACTGACCACATTCTGAATTGTAACTCATGGCTAACAATTAGGAGCCTGGCTTCTCTACCAACTGAGCTATGTTCCAGTCAATAAACAAGCAGCAGTTTGTTGACGTATATCTATAGTTCTCTACGAGCCCTTCCTCTCGATATTCTCAAACATCCCAGCAACAGCATTAATCACGCTCACACAGTCAATGATAAAAACCCCTATCGTCTGGAAAAAGTAAACGCAGGCTAAAACAAACACGCCGTTGTGTACAAAACAGCACATGTTGAGATGTTACAGACAGGTCTGGAGCAGTAACAGTGTAGTCTGTGCACCGCGTGATGAACCTGGCAACCTGGGTTCCATTCCCGGCCACGGCTAACGTCAGCAACATCCGTTTAGGCAAGCGAAGAAAGCAAATTCTGGACTGGTTTCGACCTTCTGGGTCACATCAGCAGTCAGGCTTGTTAAACAAATGCCGCCGACTAGATGTTATCGGCAAGAGCACTCCCATCTAAAATGTGGGGTCCCGCAAAAACAAGAACCCAATATTGTACACAAACTCGTGATGCATTGTTGTTGTTGAGCATTGTGGGTACACACACACGCGTATAAGCAGACCTCCATTCCATAAACCCGCATACAAAAATAAAATACATTTAGTCCACAGCCTATTGGCTTTCCAGACCAATGAAGACAGGAAGACGTCGTTCGTACCTTTGGTGTGAATCGTTACACCTTCAGCCTCCCAGCTGCACTGTCTCCCGGAGGCTGGGACCCCTGGAGGAGGAGGAGGTGGTGGGAGAGAGGAAGGATGTGGAAACGTGAGACACGATGCACTCATCGATTTGCAGGGCGCAATGGCCACATCACTTCTCTCACTCCCACACTCTGCCGCTGGCAGAGGGAACAGTGCAAACGGGCGACTCGCAGGAGACACGGTGCGGACGGGGAGAGCCCAGTTGTCACAATGATAATGTAATGAGAGCAATAACTTTTGACATCCCGTAGACAATCCACCGTTGGATGTCGCATCATTCAAGGGTCCCCATTTGATTATACACCACCGTGCTGAAGAGTGGGGGATGCACGGGGCCCTGATTCAAATATCACTCACAACCCATGTTAGCGATGGCAGGGGATAGAACTCAGATGTGACTGGGCTCACAGCGCACTGTGATAAGGACCCATTCTCCAAGTTGGTGTGTTCAATTCTGAACGAGAACCGGCGTAATGATACTGCAGCGCTGGCTTTCTCCTCAACTCAAACCCTTAGCTTCCATTACCCTGTATATATCTAGAAAATGCAAAAGGCTTTTGAATGGTGGGTGCACAGGCTACGGCATGGATACTGTGCAGAGAAAAAATAGAATGTGCGCAAGCAACGTCAATGTCACGTTGTGGCTATAAAACACACTCATGAACGCGAAACATATGCCTTGCACAACACACACTGATGCACAAAAGGAAGCACATGCCTGACCCACAGAAAACGCAACGAAACACAAAAACAAACGTGCCTTGTCAACACAAAACACGCCAGTGCACAACATGAAACACATTCCTTACCAACACCGCATTGACATGTGATCTCCCTGTGTAACCTGGGGGTGCGGGAGACCAGTGGGTCTGATTGAGGAGCCGCACGCGCCCATCCCTAAAAGTTTGAGAACCACTCATTCAAGAACGACTCCGCTGTGATTGTACCACGTGACCTGCGTTACTAATTCGAGGCCAAAGTGTATTAGGTGCGCACGGCGAATTGTTTTCCAAGCAACATGATCAGAAAATTAAAAAAAAACTAGTTTCACGATCGTTTTCGGTGGATGGAACAACATATTTGATTAAACAATCAAAATCAAAAAATTGATAATAAACACAGCATAAACAGACACCCGAGTGTCCCTAAACATTATCTGTGAAAACTACAAAATGATCACTAAGCAAACCGTAAAATGTTTTTAAACGCACAGCACTCGTGAGAGACTGGCCAGGTGGCTCAGCGGTGGAGCGAGCAGCCGGCAATCAGAAAGATGAGAGTTCAACTCCTGGTCGGAGGGTTGACCCAGCCCGTCGTCCCTCTGGGGGTCACAATACGATGAGTACCATAACAATGGATTGTTCTGCGGGTAGATTCACCGTCGTAGAAATGTGTAAAAGGGCGGTGGAAATTAGCAGAAAATCACTTCGACTTTGACCGGCAAGACCAGATTTGTTGTTGTTGTTGACATCGCCGTCGTCGGCATTATTTTAATAACGATAATAAAAATAAGCCACTCGCGGTCAATGTATCTTAAATGTAGAAAAACTAAAAAGTGTGATTCATTGCCCAAGGTGACAGATGCAATACTGTGCTCGGTAGAACTGCAGGTGGCTTGCTGATGTAATATCTGGCATTGCGGGCGCTGTTACCGTAATAAACGGCGCTGTACTGGCCAACTGTCACAGTGCAGGAGGCGGGAGCTTTTCTCGTGGTGGTGGTGGTGGTTGCCAGATGGCATTTGTCGTACCGAACTGGGTTTGCCCATTTCGGCCGTTCTAACGCAGTGCTCCATGCCAACGTTTTGCAATGCGAGAGCTGCCAGGATTTCCAACGTGTTTTCCGGTTCTGCCGCGCGTTGTTCGGCACGGCGTCCGAAGTTTCGCTCCACGTCCTGAAAGCTTCTATGTGGACTAATTATTTAAAATATTGTTTCTTAAACGAGTGGCCTTGGGCAGTGCTCGTCGCTACAAGCAAGTTTGACGGGCACATGGATAATGACGGGATGGCAGCCAAAATAACAGAAGATGTTCACCCAAAGATGAGACGGAGCAATGATATCAGCTTGTGTGTTGGTGCACCGTGGATCATTGCATTGCAGGATCGTGGAAAGACTTAATTCCGGAAGGTGCATTGACCATGGCCTGATGATGATCCCCCACATTTAGCAAATAACGACCACTGCAAAAGTTGTCGTGGCTGTGCTGTACGGCTCTCCGATGTCGGGGTTGAGTCACGCGTTCTTCGGCACAATGTCCAATGTCCGACGTTCCGCTCCATGTGCTGGGAGCTTGTACGTACGTATGTGGAACTATTTTTCGCACCGTACGTAGTCGACCGTGCGAATCGAATTGGAAGTTTTTATGGTTATGAGGTTACACTGTGTAGTAGTTTGAGATTTACGACAGACAGGCAGGTGGCTGTGAAATGCTGATGATTTTAAACAAACATGATACCAGACCATGTCTCCTATGTCGATGAATTGTCAGTCTGATTGAATTAGCTTGAAGACCTGCCACCATCAAATTACTGACGTCTCATATTCAGCAATGTCAGGGCAAGTGATGCTAGTGAGCAGCTATTAAGGCTGGTATGGAAAAGGGTCGCCAGCATTACACCCCGAGCATTTGTTCCCTGAGTAAACCCACAACATCTACAATTTAACTCTCCAACACACGCCGATGTGCGGAACTAGTAACGAATTGGCACGTTCTGTTTACGTGACAAACCTTGCTAATTGGCTATTGGTTGGTGGCAGGTTTAACGACGCATTTAAATATTTACGCGATCTAACCTAAAAACCTTTATTTGTGATAATATTGGTCGCGAAAGCGTGTTAAATCGGTACAGCACTCATTTTAAACCGAGTGAACCTTGGGGAGGTCCAGACCAGGTTCAGATATCACTCCGCCGACCGATTTTAGCCGAGGCCGGGAACCAAACTTGAGGTCACCGGGTTCATTACGTACCGCGCTAACCACTGCGTGACTGCTGCCATAGATACAACTCTAGGTAGTTTGTAAATATAGTTTGTAAATATATTTTCTCATGGCTTAGGATCTTTCTAATTGTCACGTTGAGTTTGAGTTTTACGTGACGGGGCTTTGAGTGGTCGATTTGTTTTAGAAAGGCGCCACTTGTGCATGTAAACAAAAATAAAAACCGACTTGACTTTACACGCACACGCACGCACACAAGTGATGTTTTTTTTATTAATGGTAAAATGGAAGAAAAGATTAATGTGAAAGCAGTCAGGTGTGGTCTGTGTAAATCTTGCCAGGTAAAGTCGTTCAGGGTGGGGGCAGTGCACACAGACTTATTTTTAAACAACCGAGCACAGTTTTAGGAACCGAACCCGGGTCGCCGGGTTCAAATCGCAGATCGCCAAGCACTGCACCACCACTCCCCTGCTCTATGCGATAGGGCGACAGCAAACGCACGGACGCCCACGTACGCAAGAGGTCGGTTAATTGTAGAACATGGTGTACGTTTGAGGACAAGATATCACGAAGAGCTGTTAAATTTGGCAACACTCTCTTTGTGCAACTGTGACTTCATTTAACTGTATAGCGTCGCAATGTGATGTAACTTTGGGGCGACTTAAAAAATCTAGTCCTCTCGTGTGCGATAATTCGTGACGCTGGGGGTCGTCGCGAGATTCAGGGTCACGGTTCGATCCCCGGTTGCGCCTTCGAGTGGCGGCAGCGGGTCCACGTGACCCTATTACTCTAAGAGTCGCCGTGTTTTCATGGCGACGTTTACATCACGTTTTTATATTCGATGCATGTGCCATGAACTTAAGAATCGGTGTTAATTGTCACGGATTTTCTGTTCCACACCCCTCCAAAGCTCATCGGCATATTGTACCGGGCTCGCGTTTTGTTGCAATAAAAATAATTGGTGTAAATCGCACTCAATACATTAGAGGATAATGTTTTTCGTACACGAAGTGTGTACGAACGCTACCACTTTGAGTTCACTCATTCAGAATAGAGAAGTGAAATAAGACAATCGTTATGGTTAAAACATATATTTTTAAATCGCTTCCAATCCTTAAGTGCCTTTGCAGTAAACATGCATATTCTGACAATTTCAACAGCCTCTGACCATGCGCCGCTGTGTTGTGGGCAGCGTTTGGTTTGTTTGTGGAACACAGACTTTACAATCGGACATAGGGCATTGTGAACTCGCTTCACGAGCCCTAAACATGCTTAATTGGTGTGTCCGAGTGAGATACAGGTTTCAATCTCGCCTGATGCAACAATGTCATCATGCCCTCCCAAGGGCAGGTGCCTCCCAGCCAAGAGCTGTTTCTGTGAACCAGCACACCTACAAAGCCATGAATAGACCCACTGAATGTATGCGCTTGCTTCTTAAAAACAACGTAAACTGCAGACCTCCAAAATTATTCATCACCAACATCAGCAGCTGTTAATCCACTGCTGGATAAAGGCCTCCCTCAACCTCATGGCGAGTAGGTCACGAATTTTACTCAGCCATGTTCAACTGTGCTCATCGGTGAGGAGGGTTGAAGGGTGGACAACACAGACCTTGTCCACCACGTAAACCCACAGATCACAGCAAGGCTTGCCCGTGCACGGCGGTCGCCCATCGGACAGGGGTTCCCGAAAGCCGATGAGATTGTATTTTTGGGTCATTTTGGTCACTGGCCAGGACCACACTAAAATTATAGACAGGACCCCGTTCTGCAATGAATTACGCCCGATTGGATGGCGCTGTGGCAGAGGCGCCGGTGCACGATAGGGGAAGCTGCAAGTTCAAATCCCAGATGGAGGTGGGGCAGGCGGGCGGGCGGGGGGGTATAATCCTCCTGGGGTCTATAAAATGAGGAGGTATCCACAATTCTGGCTGTCGCCCGATGAGGCTGGTTGTAATTACCGGTGAAACGTCGTACTCGAATTGTAAATGTTGTAGGTTTTATTCTCCGACACACCGGTGTGCTGAACTCGTAACTAACTGGCACATTGTGTTTACATGAGAAACCTTACTAATTGGCTGT